GCGCTATTAAAAAAAAAAGCCTCGTTTTAGCTCGCAACAATTCGAAACGGACGATGCTTTATTAAGCGAATTAATCAGGTATCGATTCTGACCGCTCAAATAAAAATTCTGCTCAATTTCAATGTTGAGGGGTTGGTCTCCAAAATTTAGTGAGGATTTTTCCATATTCTTGGGAGTTACTAAACTATGGATCAGCAGACCGCGGAACCTCCACCATAGATTTTTTTATAAAAGAAGAGCAATGAGATTAGTATAAAGTTTACTTTCGGGTACAAAGGAGAATAATTTAAAAGAGAAGTATGTTTTAATTGTCCATGACGTCCAACTTGGCGAGCATTCGGCAATCATCTACTCCGAGTGTTAATGACTGAACAACAATTTGAAAGCTCTAACAGTTTGGGCATCTGAATAGTGCCTCATCCGAAAGCTCTCAGAAAAGCTTTAGGCTGGAATTCATTGAACATGACCCTGGAATGAGGAACACCATCGTACCATTTCGGGGTGATCCATTAAACATGACTAATAATTTATTTATTATTTGAACTATACTTAAATTAAAAAAGAATCTCCATGTGGCTGTAAGGAGTTCAATTGCTGAATTTTAATTCGTAAAAATAATCAATTTCAAGGGTTGTTTGAATTATTTGACTCTGAGTGCACGTCATTTTAACCCCTCAGCTCATTCAGAAAAGCAGCTATCGAAATTCATGGATATTAATGGTGTTTTAATTTGCGATAAGAAAGGAAAAAGTACACCAATTGAAACATTTTTTTCCAAATACCGGATCGAATGTTAAACTTTGCATCTAACGCCAGTTTAAGTGGACCCTGATGATTAAGTTCGATCTCTTGTCTAAGCACGTCCAACGTTCAGCAACTATCTGAAGTCGACAAGTTTTTTCCTTTTCACATCTTGTCATAGTGGTATAAAACGATAGCAACTAAGTTATCGTGTTCCTGTTATCCTAAATATGGCTGCTAAAGCTGTTGTGCAGACAACTATGACGCAAACAACATGACCACAGCATGAATGTCTCGCCTGTGCTTTGATCTTAAATTGCTTTGCACTATATGAAATCTAAAAGGCTTCAGGAATCCAATTTGTAAGAGATCCTTCTCCGATTACGAACTCAGAGTTTAATGCGGACACCTTTAGAATCTGGTTTGTTTTGTTTTAATCAACAGTGCCAATATCCGCCAACTGACATTTTCTTTCGGCCAAACTTCACAGGACGTTCAAAAATCGATATAAATGTTTTGCAAAAGGAAAATCAAGATATAATTAGGTGGCTACTATACTAGCGCACAACTTTTAAAAAAGGTTTTGCTCTCTTTGTGGGATTCAGTTGTACTCATCGCGCAATTTTATAGCTACCGCACAACAAACAGGAATAACTAGCGTCGTACTTACCCACCACACAACATGTTAATAGAGTTTTGAAAATTTTTCCGGATTCAGTTCCATTCATCATCCACTTCATCATGGCCAAGATATGCAAAGGTTGCTGTTAAAAGGTATCGTTACACTAATATTTGATTCTCCCAGCTTGAGAGTTGCGGATATACGGCATCTTATAAAACCCTTTTGCACGAGACAGAGTTTAATGCAAATTATGATCTCTGATAGCTTGTTCCCGACGTTTGTCTCCATTTTTTTCCCGTCAAAGAGGCAACAATAGATAAAAGGCAGCTTGCACCAGATGTGAAGCATTGTTTTTCTTAATATAATCGGAAAACTTCACGGAATTAAAATACTCTTTATAATTCCAATTTTATAAAAAGCAGCTCAAAAATAATTGATGTTAAGAATGATTATTTCTTTATCAGCTCCGCTAAATGAAAGTTTTCTTAAATCAACTTCTGTTTTATCAAACGGCAGCTAAAGCTAGCACGCCATCTGTTCGTATGCATAAACGGAAATGATTATTGTTTATGCTGCCGTTTCAGTTGGTGGGTGGTGGTAATTATTTCGCTGGCCTTCAACTTTGGTGGATTAATTCACTCATGTGTTAATAACATGTATTAATATTTTTACAGCACGGCAAACTCCGAGTCAAAGGATTCCTTCTCGATTTTCTTAGACTGTGAACTCGATGTGAGTTTACGTAAAGTTGATCGTTAATTGATCAAAAAACCAACAATAGTTTAGCGTTCAGCCTACAAAACAACTCTCCCATGCAAAAGCGTCATGCAGACCATTACTTTTGTGTCCAGATGTTTGAATTCCAACATTTTAGAAGGAGCGGTGGGGTCAAAATATGAAGTAGCCTTAGCTGCAATAAAGTTAGCCAATCGAAGCTTGAAACGTTTTGAGATATCACTTCTTCCGCCTAAATCGTACGCTTCTTCATCCATGCTGATTTATAAAGAGGTGCAATGAAGTTTAGGTTGTTGTAAACCGAGTTAGACACATCTACATGTTCAACTCCTTCTTTCGCTGATTGAAATTCCTCTTCAATGCTAGCCTCTCCGTTGTAGTGATATTTGAAAGCCAGGCCCTCGGAAATTTTCCGCATTTCTATCGATGAACTTTTTCCCGTTAAATTGTCTACTCTGTGTAAAAGTTCTTTAATCGCTGTTTAATGAAGTTTGCGCAAGAGAATATAATCTCTTGGTTAATGCCATTTACGGCTAGCATCGCCCCAATTGAATTCCAGATTATTGGATGTATTTTCGATTCAAAATGCTACTTCTTATCTTAGGGATGCGAAAAAAAAGAAAAAAGAATAAAACTGGCAAATATAACTGATCAAAAAGGATCCAATCATGCGGGTTTTTCTGTCCTTTTAAATTAGCTGTTTATTTATTCAACCATTTGCGTATTCATCTATTTGTTCATTAACCAACAACTTTGAATGTCAACTTAATTTTTTTAATTTTTTTTTTAATTTAATAAACATTTATTGAAGAAACATTTGTACAAAACTAAACTTACATTACATTACTCTACTTACATTACTCAACATCACTCTACTTATTACATTACTGTACTTATTGGATAAGTCACTTTTACTTATTTCTTACTTATACTAACAGTCACTTAGTAACAGTCACTTACAGCGTCATGTTACTTACATAACGTTACTAAACAGAACATGACTTACAATACATTACAATACAAAACTCGCAATTCGCTGATTAAGCTCACTTGCCTACCTATAATTACTTATGTACTTTTTACGAAACGGCACCTCAATTACTTTTTACGAACACAACAAAGTAAATTTAGAGACAGTGTTGGTAGAAAGAAAAGATAAGATTTTGGGCTTTGATTTAGTGTGTCTGTTTAAATTGGCTGGTTAAATCAGGAAAAAAAGGCTTGGCGGGAAAATCTGTGAATTAGGGATGAGCTTCTTTAAATTCCTGCATGTTTGGTTTCTTGTCGAAACATTTTCAAGGGTAAATGAATAATTAGATTAATTAGATTAAATAGATTTGATTAGAATAATTAGAATAATTAGAATAATTAGAATAATTAGAATAATTAGAATAATTAGAATAATTAGAATAATTAGAATAATTAGAATAATTAGAATAATTAGAATAATTAGAATAATTAGAATAATTAGAATAATTAGAATAATTAGAATAATTAGAATAAGAATAATTAGAATAATTAGAATAATTAGAATAATTAGAATAATTAGAATAATTAGAATAATTAGAATAGAATAATTAGAATAATTAGAATAATTAGAATAATTAGAAGAATAATTAGAATAATTAGAATAATTAGAATAATTAGAATAATTAGAATAATTAGAATAATTAGAATAATTAGAATAATTAGAATAATTAGAATAATTAGAATAATTAGAATAATTAGAATAATTAGAATAATTAGAATAATTAGAATAATTAGAATAATTAGAATAATTAGAATAATTAGAATAATTAGAATAATTAGAATAATTAGAATAATTAGAATAATTAGAATAATTAGAATAATTAGAATAATTAGAATAATAATGAAAAGGTGTAGTCTGTGTCTCGGGAAATCGGTTCGGTGAGTTAAACGGGGGATGTCGTTAAAAGTTATTTGTTTATTTGAAAGTGTAATGTCGGTGAACGTCAACTTTAGCTGCTACTACTATGGGCATTTTTTTGTTACGGTACAATTTAACCAACAGAAAGAACACTATTAAACAACTTTAATATTCTTACTAAGGAGCGACTCTTAAAGGAAGTACACTTTTATGCTAAATAAACTTATTTAAGCCCACTACAAATTACATCTTAGCTCACCACTGACACGATCTCACAGTTGTCTCCCAAGTTCCTCGAAATTAACAATCTTCCACAGTAGCTCTCTTTCATTAGAACTCTCTGAAAAATCAGTCACTACCGACAACAACAACTACTACTGCTGCACGATTGAGTCCTTTGTACAAAGTGTTCCAGATAATTCCAGAAGCTTACAACAACCATTTTGGTGGTGTTACACCACAGCTACGCAACCTAATAAAATATTGCAGAAAGTTCCTTTGTGTGCATGTCAGCATGACTACGTATTCTAGAAATTACTAGAAACTGATAATTTCAGTGACTATCCATAGCCTATAGTTAAAAGTAATAACAGTGTTTGATAAGAAGTTTATAAACTAAGTAAGTGAAACAAAGCAGTCATCAGCATACGGAGCCATTAGGAATTTAAATTTATAGATTGGTTTATTTCGATGATTCTTGCCTGCAAATATACGATCGCCTAGAAAATAAACTTATTATCATAAAAATGATAGGTTACAAAGACATCAAGTTGAATGCTTAAACAATAATGCAGACACAGACCTCTTTTTACATGCAGATCGTAACTCAGACCGATCGTAAGCGACTTATTGCTGTTAACTAAGTGATTGTTCTAAGTATTTGGTTGTTATTTCCGATTGGCTGAATCAAGTTATTTAACTTAAGTACAATTTCGATTCAAATTCAGCACATGACTGCAATTAAATTGTCCATACATTCCCAACCTCATTTGGATTGACCTGTGGGCTCTTCCTTGTGGAGTTGTCCTTTATAGAAGATGGAAAAACGATGTTCATCTTTCTTTTGAATCGCTCTCTGATCTGCAGATAGACGAGCAACACGAAATATGGTTCTTAGCACTCGAATATTTATTGAAACACTAAAACTTGATGATATAAAGTTAATAATCAGTTCAATGTTTTTTCTTACCTGAGTGTTTCGCATACAGTGTAGAGCGAAAATCAGGAAACCCTGCAGCATAAAAATAATTTCAAGATCATTAACTTTTACAATTTGCAAACAAATTAGTCAACTATCTATTAAGATTTCCAAGAAGGAAGGAAAATTGCACATCTTATAATTGAAAAAGAAGTCTGCCTTCTCTTGCATAGTTGACACCTTTTTGTTTTAAAAATTCCAAAGAAATGTAATCTGACCATCCTAATGGTGTCTCACTTGGTCAGAAAGTAAAATAAATAATTGAGATTAATGTCTTTTTACAGTTACCATTGAATACTGACCTGAGTAGAGTTAAGTATGGTGAAGATGTAAGCGAAAGCTTTATTTACAGGCGAGAGGAGACCGAATAGCCACATGACACCCAGCTGGGGAATCATCACCACGCATGTTTTGATGCCAAGACTAGGAGTTAGAAAAACACATTCTTTTACTTTCCTTTGACAATGAATTTTTATGTTGATGCCTTACTGATTAAGGAATGAGAAAGCTAGGCAAATATAGCCCCACAGGAGGGCATGGCAATGTCTTCCACTATTTTTTTTAGTTTTATGCTGTGATTCTCACCGTATTTTCTGAAAATGGTGGTCTCCCCCTGTTGGCTGCAACAGATTGGTCATCTCCCTTATTACACGTAGGAGTATCAAAATGTTGAGCTAAAATATACCAAAAAAAAGCGATTATTTAGATATGGATGTCGAATAGCCAAGGCATGGGAGGATCTTTGCCAAGGAAGTTACTAATTCGGTAACAAGCGTGGGATGAAGAGTAATTTACAGGGAATAGAGCTCCCAACAGGGGGACCAGGATTAGGAGCTTCGATCTCTGCCAATGAGCAAAAGAAATCGCGCAAAAAAGTGTCTAAACTGAAAGAACCACGCCAAGTAAAGCCTTATGTTAAATTATAGAAATTACATAATATATCCTACTCTTCCTGCTCCTTTCACATTTTTCATTTTTTTTTTTTTTGTTTTTTTTTTTTTTTTTTCATGAGTTATTTTTGTGTTGAAGGAAGGGGAGAAGTTTTTTTTTTTCATACTGTGTAGTAAAAGTTGGAGAATTTATGAAGCTATCTTATGCCTGTTAGGACATTGTCTCCACAGGTTTTTCTCGCTATTGAAGACCATCAGTAGGTTAAAATTGACCAGCATCCCCGCAAACAGCGGCTACGTTCAAAGCTTTTTGTGAGTAAATAGGGAAAAGAAAATGATATTTATTGTATTGGGTCATATCATAAATACTTAATTCGTTTTAAAGAGCAGAGGAAAAAATCTTTAGCAGCAATTAGTCCAGGTATACCGATCACAATCACTAACACTAATCATTAACTCACAACTTCAATAAAAGCCACAAAGGCGACGAATATCCAGATCAGGTTGTTAGTTGAGGAAAGCCAGCAACTAAACTCGAGGAAGTGAAACACAAGAAAGAAACACAAATTGTCAGAAAATAAAATGATACCTATTTCAAACTATATCCAAAAACAAAACAAAGAATTAAATGCAACGAATTAAAAGGAGAAGAGAAAGAAGAAACCCTTGAATTTTTCTCTCACTATTTATCACTCGTATAGCTTTGTAACCCTTCTTTTCCAGCAGCGATGCCAAGTGAAATGGCCATCATGATCACTGGAAGACCTACCCATAAAGAAAGAAAGGAAATCAAAACATTTTACTGCATGAAAACACCAGATTTGGCGATCCGAAAGCATGGTTACAGTTACCAGTGCATGTTTTAAAATAATAAACTTACCCCACGAGATGACGTGATACATGTACATTTTGGTGTTAATGTTGTAAACTTTCACGACGAAGAAGTAGAGATAAATTCCCTCGATCAGCATCCAACAGAAAGCGGCCATAAAGAAATACTGCATCAGAGCTGCTATTGTAACACAGGCAGCCTGTGGAAAGGACGAGTTTTCGTATAATTCTTAACGTGCTTCTTTCGACAAGATATTTACGGTGCAAAGAGTAAACTCATTCTATGGATAGAAGGAGAGGCTACTGACTTTGTTTTCTGTGGCGTTTATTCCAGCGAGGAAGATGATCTGTCCAGCTCCAAGGGAAATAGAAACACTCAGTCGAATTTGAGAGAGAGGTTTACGAACATCTCTGGTAAAATAATATTAAAAACAAGAAGAATGAATGAGACAAAAGCAACAACACACAGGAAAAAAATGGCAAAAAATTAACTAAATCTTGACAGCGAAGGAAAGAAGAAAGTCAGTAAATAGCTCCAGAGAGGACAAAAAAAGAAAATATTACGAAGAAAATGTCTAAAGCCTAAAAAATTCATAAAAAGTGAAACCATTAGTTGTTCAAAAGTTCGTGATGGGGCATGAAATGTAGCTTGAGTTTGTGAATTATCCGACATGACTGTTCTTGTTTGCATGGAGACTGGCATTGAGATCTCTTTTATCACCAGCCTTGTTGAGGGGAGTTAAGAATCTACCTCATTATTAATCGAGTGCATTGCTTACGTGAGGCAAGAATAAAGTATTAATGTTAAAAGTATCCCGATAATGGAAAGGCTCAGTCCCACGTAGGTGATAATTTTCAGAATTCTTTCGTTCTCCTCAGTGAGCTGTGTCAAGAAAAGAAAAATTGAAGGACAACATTGAGTTAGTAAATTGAGCCCATAAAACTATTAAGTAAGGCAAAAATAACTTTATTACCTTTGTGCTACCGTCGTAGTCCAGTAAGACGGCAAAATGCGTCAAATGATTGCATCTGCAAACTGTTTCTTCTGAGTTACTTTTTGATGTAACTACATGACAACCTTCCTCTGAAAAGCTGTCACACATGAAAAAAGAGTAAAGTTAAAAAATTATTCATCGTTTGGGTAAAAGGTGATGTTTGAGAATTTTGCGCTAAGATTTTCTTCCACTGTAGTTATATTTGCGAGAACATTTCAATCAGACTTCCATTCTCTAAAAACGACAACATGTTGGCTTCAAGGAAAGTGTTAATCTGCGCAAACATCTGAGAAAGTTCATTCATTGTCCTACATACTCAATTTAATTTAAGAAGGAATAAATACTATGCAATAATATATTGTAGTTTTTTTACCTTTTGCTGCGGCTACTCCAAAACATACAGCGCTTCTCTGCTGTCAAGACCTGAAAATAGATTTTATCTCGTCAGAATAAATCAAAAAAACGCATAGCAGCTAATTTTCATGTTACCTTTAGGTTTTTGAAGTTTAGGATGACATTTTCTCGCAATTTCTCTGGCTTGGGGTCCATAGTTACGGCCATTATCCTGGAGTTGATATACCTATGAAGAAATTGTATTTAAAAATGGACCAGAACCACGGAAGCAATATTACATATTTTTGGTAGATTCAATTAGCCAATTTTTCATGAAGGTGGAATAGTCAGAGACAAGCAGGGAGTTTTCCAACTCTAGTTAGGGTTTTTGGAAATTGTGTCAGTTCAGTTAAGTTGAACTTAGATCTTATGTGTTTCCCTGTTGTGTGTTTTTAGAGGTAAACGACATGGAGTAATATGAAAATAACGTCACCTTTGGTTGTCTGTTTCACTCCTTATGGCTTGATCTATCAGAAGTAGGTCATGCAGATCCTTGTACACAAACGCAGCTACCATTGATCCTTTAAACGCCCCAAGAATCAACAGGAAATGTTTTTAAACAACAACAAAAAGAACAATGGTGAAATGTTTATCAGGCTCTAAGGTATGTGACATTTTAGGGAAGGCGAATGATTAAAGAAGTTAGACTATGTAACCTAAGGAAGTGCCTTTACATGAAGCTTTATTTCAATAAAGAAATTTCTATTGGAGAAACCAAGGTAATACTAAAAGTTGTAAAATTACCACAATAGTTAATACGAACCATTTTCCTCAAAATTTGAAGAAGCGATATCGATTCTCGCTCGCCATTGTTGTTCCTCAAAGTCGAAGCCACTTGCATTCAAATGATAGGCTTTTTGAATGACTAAAACTGTCGGAGAGAAAAAATGACAAATGAAAGCACCTACGGTGAAATTTGCAATAGCACACCTACACAAACATGCGTTTTGCGGTGTACACAAATATTTCATAATCTTATTCGATGGAAGTGTATTGTTTGTATCCTATTTGCCCTTCAACGACTATTCGACGAATTCAACCATTTTACAACGTTTTTTCAATGTAAAACTGATGAAAAAGTGCGTAGTACTGCACGGACTAAAATTGTGAAAACTCAATTCGTTCCTCGAACCGTTTCGTTAGAGAACTATAGAGTTCATTAGGAAATTTTTACGAGTACGGTTAAAAATCTTGCATTTATGTGCATCGCAGACGATTGGCCAATTTTGAGCTCAGTGTACGGTATGAAGTAAGCGGAAAGTATTTCTAAGATTTTACAATTTTAGTTAGTAAAGTGTTACTCACCAATCTATTATTTAAGAAAAGTTTCAATAAACAGATCGAGAAGAACGGTTTCACAATTTGAAGGATTCCTATTCTCTCTTGTTGATTGTTTAAGAGAACGTTCAATTTCCTTCTCCACCGCGACAAATCAAAGTATCAAACAAATTGAAAAAAAAAATAAACAGATGAATCGATGACATCCAACAATAACATTTCTGATAAGTTGGGTTAATAGCTGAGTTCTTACATCATGCCATAGGAAATTAGACAACTCAGTGGGACAGTCAGCAAGTTAGTAAGTAACAGAGGAATAGACTTTGAAACTAAACAGGATTGAAGGCCGCAAACTCACCCATTTTGGGGGAAACGATCCTTTCTGAAAGCCTCATTTCTCTCAGGTGTCGGTTGCCGTAATTAAGAGCAAATTTCTCGACGGCCTCTGCCACCTCAAAGATGGATGTTTTCAGTGTTTTAACCTCTTCTATGCCGGCCTTGTCTTTTGTGACGTTCTTGATTTTTAAGGTGAAATCTTCAAACACAGCAACAGCCTCCTACAATTACGTAAAAGATTTCCAGGTCATTAAACAGGCAGTCTCATACTGTATTTACAATTCATACTAAGGATCCAAATGGTGTCCAGGGTATTCAGTGGCCAGAGAACTCTTTTGGGGGCCTGGATTATTTTTTAAGCTTCACCATTTTTACTTCATATGGCTTAATGGTGGTTTATCCTTAAAGGTCAGGCATTTACTTTTTTATCGTTTAAAAACATATACCAAAGTTAAAAAGCCTTTAAGTCATATAGAATTAGATACCTGTAAGGAAGTCCTTCTGGTAATATTTATTCCGCCAAATTTTGATACATACTCCTTTGCCTAAAATTAAAAATATTATCTCTCACGTTTGTAAACAGAAGAGATCTTGAAAAACGACATGCATAAAAACGGTAAATGACTATTTAGAGAACATACTAGCTGTTCAACTGGTGATGGCGATGGCGATGGCGATTGAGACGGCGACGGCGACGGCGATGGCGACGGGAATGGCGATGACGAGGGCGATGGTCGTGGTGACGGCGACAGGGACGACGATGGCGATGCTGATGGTGATGGTGAGGTTGCAAGGTCTATTCTGGGTGATAGTAAAGGCGACGAAGTTACTGAAGATATTGAGGAATCTTGAAAGAAAAATGTTAATCAAGACCACATCATACAAAAAAGTTGCCTTACTATTACACTGCGAGGGCAAAACTGCGGACGGAAAGGGGAGTAACAAAATGGCCGCTAATAACGTTCAAAACTCTTAAACGCACTCGATTTTTTATTAGTTATACAGAAAGCTCCTATTGTTTCTTTAGCATTTTATTCGTCTGTGGCAGACGTCTTGTGTGATTATTCCTTAGATAGGGCTGTAGGATGTTTTTCGAAAACTACACACCAAAATACTAGAGAATGAAACATATTCTGTAGACTTTTCCCTAATAGCTGAAAAAGCTGTTACACAATATTTCAATATCCTGTTCCGCGTTTTCTTACTTGAATAATATTCCACGTGTCGTTTCTTTGGAAACAACCTGCCTTTTATCACCTATTCGAAGCGCATTATCCAAAACCACTGAAAAAATATCACATGGGACTAGATGCTACTGATAATGAATTCTCCACACAATTCTGGTTACTTTAAAAGTTTTGCTCTTTTCCTGTTTCAAGACTGAAAGCGTTAAGAATCCAAAGTGTCCCATCTCATCTACGCATGCCTATGTATATCTTTTCGGTGCGCAGAACATCAATTATATTCCAACTCAGTATTATAACATAGCCAGTAAATTTGTGTAATCAAATTCAATTGCGCGAGTGGCTTCATATTCCCATTGTGCGCGCTCATGACGTCAGCAAACAAATCCCTCGAGAAAAAACATTTTCCAATCAAGAAGCTAGAGTTGCTCTCGGCTACGCCTCGAGTAACTCTTACGCATCTTTCGTGCTCTCCAAACTTCTCGCGTGCTACATTGAAGAAATGTAAAATGCTTTCCATGTTTACATAACCTGATGTAAACACGCGGGAGGTTGGGAGACTATGTAAACACGGAA